TGTTGAAGTAGGATGAACTATGTAAGACATGGGATACCTGAATTGTACATCTCTCTTCACAATGAAGTGTGCAGGGAAATCCACTTGATTTGTGAGTATATAGATTTTGTTTTGGCTAGATACGCCAATGCAATAGAAAAGTCTGCCAAGAGGGAGGAATTGTAGGATTTCATGCTACTGCTGTTTTAGTTAATAATTGCTGCTTTCTATTGGGATTTCGGTTAGCAGTCCAGTGTTGGGCATAAACTTGGGTCTGAATCTTGCACTTGAGTCCAAGTTACATTATTAGGTACTACAGAAATGGGTAGTGAAGCTGCTCAAGGTAACAATGAAGAGTTGAAATGGAAGTCCCATTTTATCTGCTCTGCTATTGTTTTATAATTATTCCAAGCTTATGCAACGACTTACAAAGTAGCTAGAATATACTTTTGAGTCAACACTTACTATATTACTCCTTTTGTTTTGCTTGAGCTAGAAAATCATAATAGAGATTGACCTAAGAAGACTTGAGCTTTATTCTCAAGCATCTTTAAATATTTTATCTCAGAGATAATGCGAATGAGTATGAGGCCTAAATCAAGAACAGGGGTGGAGGATTTTTTATTAAGTGTTAATGATTTTCGCCTTGACTTGTGTGACGGTTAGTTTTGTTCGATTCATATGACGAAGTTCTTGACCTAGAAGTCTGTTAGTCTATGTGATTATCTGCATTGGCAAAATCTTAAATTCTATGGAAGTGCTTGCTACCCCCTCTTCTTCCATCTTATTGCTATGAATTGTCAGCGATTGTAAAGGAAGAGTTGATTGCCCGCAAAGTTCCTCTCTTATGATTCTTTGGATTCCTTCACTTAGATGGAATAAGGAATTCGACTTCCATTAACTATTGTTATATTTAGTGTAAAATGAACTAAGCTTTTCTCTTATGTACTGACGAATTGCAGAAAGTACCTGGATATGATGCAAATCGTGTCCTTTAAAGCATTGTTGTTAAAAGTTTATCTTATATGTTAGTTTTTGTTTGTTTCTGAAATTTATCCTCATGTTCGCTTGATCCAGGGAGACAACTTTTATCTATTTTATGAAACGAAGAACTCATACACCATGCAAGGGGATATTGGGGTGGCAAAAAGTATTGACAAGGGAGCAACATGGCAACAACTGGGCATAGCCTTGGATGAGGAATGGCACCTCTCATTCCCATATGTCTTTAACTATCTTGGCCAAGTAAGACTATCGGTTTCTTCTGTTAGTTTTTCTTTTTCCATCTATATTAGGTTAGATATACATGCAATTGTTGCATGGTATCAACAACTTTTAAGCACCTTATGATTTTATAATGTCGGCAAACAAGATGGTTCATAACTGCTGCAATATAATATGACATGGCCAAAGTAGTGTTGAACATGAATGTATAGGTTGGTGAAATCACTAGTGTGCTGAATTAGTTGACACAAACCCGTACCTGGCACATATTCAGATATGGGTATGAGGGTATGATCCTCCACACTTTTTTTTAAAAAAAAGAAAAATTGATTATGCCCATGTTGTATACATACATCCGAAACTCACCCTCAAGTCCGAATAACATAGGAATTTTGAACTCCAATCTTTCTAGTTTCTAGGATTGACCGGTTCAAATGTTACTTTTTCTTATTGTGATCAAGTACCATCATATTCATGATGGTTATGTAACCTACTCGTAGGTTATCTCGTTTATTGATGAAATTGTTTGTTGTTTTGCTCGTGGCTACAGGTATACATGATGCCCGAAAGCAGTGAGAAAGGAGAACTTCGTCTGTATCGAGTAACCAATTTTCCCTTAGAGTGGGAACTGGATAGGATCATCATGAAGAAGCCCCTTGTTGATTCATTTATTATCGATCATGATGGAGAGTACTGGCTTTTCGGATCAGAACACCGCTACTTCGGAGAAGCAAACGGACAGTTGGAAATTTGGTATAGCAGTTCACCCCTTGGTCCTTGGGAACCACACAAGAAGAACCCTATTTATAATACGTATAGTAGTTTTGGGGCTCGTAATGGGGGCCGACCATTTAGATATAATGGAAATCTTTATCGGATTGGTCAGGACTGCGGTGAAACATATGGACGACGTGTGCGGATATTCCAGGTTGAAGTTCTTTCTAGGTTTGATTACAAGGAAGTTGAAGTTCCGTTTCCCTTTGAAGAGTCCAGTAAGGGCCGAAATGCTTGGAATGGTGCCCGGTATCACCATCTTGATGTACAGCAGCTAAGGTCTGGTGAATGGGTTGGGGTTATGGATGGAGACCGAGTACCTTCAGGAGACTCGGTCCATCGTCTTTTTCTTGGCTGTGCTTCAGTTGCAGCTGTTGCTGGCCTCATTCTGTTATTAGGTGTCCTACTAGGAGCAGTGAACTGCATTGTTCCCCTTAACTGGTGTTCAGATTACTCAGGAAAGAGGAGCGATACTCTTATTGCTTGGGAAAGAGCAAATGATTTTTCTTCGAAAGTGAGGCGTGTTTTCAGCCGATTAAATCGAACACCCTTCTTATCTGCGAAGCTGGATAAAACCAAACACCTGTACTGGAAGATTAGTTTTGGCTCTGGTGTTTGCTTTAGGAGTTGTGATTTCTTGCTTAGGTGTTACGTTCATTTACGGAGGCAATGGTGCAGAAGAACCGTACTCATGGAAGGGTCAGCTTTCTCAGTTTACATTATTAACAATGACTTATGATGCTCGTCTCTGGAATTTGAAAATGTTTGTGAAGCATTATTCGAGGTGTGCTTCGGTAAAAGAAATTGTTGTGGTCTGGAACAAAGGGATACCCCCTAAGTTGAGTGATCTCGACTCAGCAGTGCCTGTTCGGATCAGAGTCGAGGATCAGAACTCCCTCAATAACCGATTCAAGATTGATCCATCGATTAAGACGCGTGCGGTGCTTGAGCTTGATGATGATATAATGATGCCTTGTGATGATATAGAGCGTGGATTTATGTTGTGGCGCCAACATCCTGATAGGATTGTAGGATTCTACCCCTCGGTTTGTCGACGGGAGCCAATTGAAGTACAGCGGCGAGAAGTACGCGAGAAAAAATAAAGGGTATAATATGATTCTTACAGGGGCTGCTTTCATCGATAGTCAAGTAGCCTTCGAACGGTATTGGAGCAAGCAAGCCAAGGTGGGGAGAGAAGTGGTCGACACGAAATTTAACTGCGAGGACTTGCTAATGAACTTCTTGTATGCGAATGCAAGCTCGTCTAAAACTGTTGAATATGTGAGACCTGCTTGGGCAATAGATACATCAAAACTCTCCACTGCAGCAATCAGCCGAGACACAAACACACATTACAAAATAAGAAGCCAATGCCTTAGGAAATTTACTGATATGTATGGTAGTATGAGTGGTCGGCGATGGGAATTCGGTTCCCGGAAGGATCATTGGGATGTATAGCGGGAAAGCAACAGCAATAACTTTAAGAGCGGCTCGGCCTGTGGTTCCAACTTGACGGGTAAATTCACATCTCCTCTCAAATTGAGTTGTTGATATTAGGTTGCACATTGATGTTCATGTTTTCTTGTTACATAGAAAAGGTTTTAGAATGTTGAATACAGGATTGTTTACTCCCCTTTACTCTTCTTAATTAGAAACAATATTATCTGGTAATGGAATGTTTAGACTTGTTCAAGGATTTAGTCATTGGTTGAGAAAATAATGACAAAATGAAAAACAAAAACGGAGATGACATGGACATACAAAACATGCATTCCTTTTCCCTATTCAATAGGTCCAACAACAAATGTACCATTGGATTTTGTCAAAACAAACATTTAATCATAAAATATCTTGTAATTTATTTAACAATTACTATCACATAAGGTTGAATTTACATATAAATTTAACTAAATTTGAATTCTATATTCGATGACTGTTTTTTTTAATTGTTTTAGTTAACAATTATGTAAAGGTGTTGAAATACGAAAGTACGATATCAATTCAATAGATTTAATAGTATATAAAAAATATTATATTTAATATATTTACGTTAACCTTTGCCTAATATAAAATATTCAAGTTATGCGTATAATTTTTTATTTTTATGTCATGTTGACATATTTTTAATTATTATTTTTATGTCATTTGTATCCTAAAATATATATAAAAAAATCTTATAATTCAATCTGAACTTTAATTCTACGGAAAACGTAACCTACAAATTATTTGAAATCGGACGTGCATGTGCATGCATGTTTAGGGTTTAGACAGATATTGATGGACCGTAGGCTATTGATTTATCAAACAGAAAATTTATCCTTCTCGACATAATCAAAGACTATGACATTCGTGTCTTGTCTATGTCATTGTCAATGTTATTTTATTTCTTTATGTGATGGAACGGCCTATTTACCTATATATACTCTATTAAATAATTATTCTTTTGATATTCAAAATCGATTAATTTTCAGAGTAGTTGTAAAACACATTTTTTCTTATATGATAAGAATTGATGTTTAACTGAAATGAAGAAAACTAAAAACTAATAATAAATTATATGAATTTTGTTCAAAAATAAATAAATATATACAGTATATATTGAAGATATATCATATAATTATTATACAAGTACAAATATTTGTCAGTCGGTCAGACACCAACGACGAACTGTATATTAGCCTTATGTAAAATATTATTTCTCTTTACTCAAATTGGGTAGCAACCGGCTCAGGCAATATAGCAAGTTACAAAGTTTTCCTACGTGGCCTTAGAAACGGTGGCTGTATCCTCATTTTGCGCTTTGTTGATCCGACGGTCGTATTCAGTTTGAATCTAATGGATCCCACTATAAAAGATCTAATTGTAGGCGTCCCCCTAATCTAATCCAATAAAAGAATTTCTTTTTTTTATTCCTCTTTGACTGGGACCAAAAATAGCAAAAAATCTGTTCGTCTGACACCCAATAATTTATTTTTGTATTTTTATTATCGTTTTTTTTAAATTGCTTCTTTTATTATTATTATTTTGGGATTCAGGGAACCAATAATAATAATGATGATGATGAGAAAACTAATTGTTCTTCTAATGGTGAAGCTTCCAACAATGTTCTGAAATCTAAAAGCTTTTCGTTTAGAGCTCCTCAGGAAAATTTCAGTATTGATGATTTTGAACTGGGCAAGATCTATGGTGTTGGTTCTTATTCAAAGGTAAGCTTTTTGATTTCTTTGTTCTCTTTTTGGATTTCTGGGTTTGTTTTGTTTTTGTTATTTATTTATATGTGCATGCTCTAGCTTTATGAATTCGATAGGCAGTGATGATTCGTTGATTTGTGATGAATTGTATATTTTTTTGATAACTTTTAGCTATCTTCATGATTTGTGTGTATTTTCATAGTGATATAATTTGTTTGAGCTTTGAAGTTTGAACGGAAAGACATAAATTTGCCTTAGTTTCCTGGAAATTTGATGCAAAGGACAGAATGTTAAACATTGTCTTTTGATTTCTTTGTTCTTTTTGGATTTCTGGGTTTGTTTGTTTTGTTATTATTTATATGTGCATGCTCTAGCTTTATGAATTCGATAGGCAGTGATGATTCGTTGATTTGTGATGAATTGTATATTTTTTTGATAACTTTTAGCTATCTTCATGATTTGTGTGTATTTTCATAGTGATATAATTTGTTTGAGCTTTGAAGTTTGAACGGAAAGACATAAATTTGCCTTAGTTTCCTGGAAATTTGATGCAAAGGACAGAATGTTAAACATTGTTTTTTCTTCCTGTTTCCGTTTCCTAGAAGATGAAAACGTTATTCTGTTTGAAGATGTTTGGTATTAAGGCTATGTTTGACATCCATGTTGCTTTGGAGTACATGTGTTCGACACTTGGGTCCCACATAGGTATGAATACGTCCTTCCTCCAAATATATAGGAAAACTCAAAAAATATACATATCCTTGCCGCGCACATACCCCTACCCGATACTCTTACCGAGTCCGAGTTTCTTGGTATAGGGTTGGATGGACACTCTCATAGTCGTCTAATGGTGTTCTACAAACTACCAATTGGAATTTAGTTTCTATCCATGCTTCTATATCGTTAATGGTTGGACTTCATGTAAGCAGAGTTTGGGATTTGAAGCTGTGCCTCTGAAGCTCTCAGTCCGATATTTTCCTTATATTGCTGGATCAAGCTATTCCGTTCATTTTTGTGTTGTTCATCTCTTGAGCCCTTTTGTTATTTTATTTTTCCTCCCTCTCAAGAGCTAAATGACTTACAAACATCTTTATGATCATATAAGTGATTGTTCCTTTTGTTAGGAACTTCTATGATATCGTGAGATTGTGAGGCTAAATTAAAGTACATGTTTCCGTTTTTGGAATATTTTTGGTTTTGTCCTAGAGATGGTCTGGTTGGTTAATGAATTGCCATTATGATAAAGACGAGAACCAATGATTTCAATAGCGAAATGTACTTCTATGTTCCATGCTACTCCTTTACAATCATCGCTACGTTCCTATGGAAACTAAAATCTGCACAAAGATCTCCCATCAATGTGGCACCTCGATATCTGCTCTTCCTCACCTGGTGCTGTAGTATGTTCATTAAAGTGGAAAACAACTGCTTGATATGCTAGTTGGTGAAGTATATATCTGCTGGTTGACATTGCAGATAAATAAGTATCATTTCTTTTGCTTGAGAGTTCTAGATGACTGATAAAACAGACCTGCTTATTAATCATTATCACCTTTTCTTTTTAGTCATTTTTTCGATGTTTGAAGGTAAACATCCATTGAATTATTTATTTTCTGTATGTTTATTTTCCATGTTCTTCACAATCACCGTTTTTCTCATGTTAGCTTCTTATTCACTTTGGTTTGTTTTGAATATGATTATATTGTTGTCATTAGGTTGTGAGGGCAAAGAAGAAAGATACCGGCATGGTATATGCGTTGAAGATCATGGACAAAAAGTTCATCACCAAAGAAAACAAAACAGCTTATGTAAAGCTGGAACGGATTGTGATCGATCAACTGGACCATCCTGGCATTGTGCAGCAACATTTTACATTTCAAGATTCTCTCTCTCTGTGTAGGTATTCTTGGCTGTATCAATTGGCAGTGTTATGTGCATGCTTGTGCAGTTAGTTTTTGCAACGACTTTTCTCCCTTGATTTGCTTCCATTGGCTTTATCTTTCCAGTTCATTCAGTTTTTGTTTTCGTTTGACATTGCTTTCTTTGATTATATTGTGAAGACATGGCGCTTGAATCCTGTGAAGGTGGAGAGCTTTTTGACCAAATAACAAGAGTAAGTTATTCTTAGCTTGTGATCGATTCACACGTATGGGTTCATTGTGGCAACAGTTTTCTCGTAGAATATGATTAGTTGTTCGAGATTGAATCGGTTGCTCCTTGAATTATTATTGAATGTATCTTTCATTGTTTATTTGCTTAGATTTTCCTGTCAAATTCATTATAAATCTGGAATAGTCATGTATACTTGTTCATGGATGATCTTAAATTTTAATCGAATATCAGTGTTTAAGATTGTTAAAATTCATTAAATAATGTTGCAAATGCCTTCCAGCCCCTAGTTTTAAAGTACGAATGCTGGAACGTTCTTGAGCTCGAACTTGATTGTTGTGATTTTGCAATTTGAACCTATCTCTTTCGGTTTATTCATGTTCAGTATCCACCATCTGGTTACATTTCATGCAGAAAGGTCGCTTATCGGAGGATGAAGCTCGTTTTTATGCTGCAGAGCTTGTAGATGCTCTTGAATACATACATGGCATGGGATTGATACACAGAGATATTAAGGTATTTTCCGGACGTGTGTGTTTTGTTACATCAACATTTGAAAAAAATGCTGAATGCTTAATTTATGGCAGCCAGAGAATTTGCTACTAACCAAAGAAGGTCATCTTAAGGTTGCGGACTTTGGTAGTGTAAAGCCAATGGAAGATAGCCAAATTACAGTCCTTCCTAATGCAGCCTCGGGTAAATTCATCATTATATCATATAAAAAAAACACCCCTTCCTTTGCATTCTTGAATTAAAAGCTAACATTGTTTCCGGTACTTGTCCAGATGATAAGGCATGCACATTTGTGGGGACGGCTGCATATGTTCCTCCTGAAGTCCTTAACTCTTCTCCAGCAACTTTCGGGTTAGTGACCTTCAATCACTTAACAAATTAGCCCCGCAATCTAGATTAAAACCATCAAACAAAACTGATTCTTAAGCTCGTTGCAGCTAGTTAAAGCTTTAACTCTTTAGCGTTTTGCTTCCTCCTTACTCCCTGTTCAACTAGTTAGTCTTTTTTTAATATTATTATCTTGCTAAATTGTTGTTTATAGGATAACTAGTTTGTTCTTTCTAACATATTCAAACAGAAATGACATCTGGGCACTTGGCTGCACCTTGTACCAAATGCTTTCAGGGACTTCTCCTTTTAAAGATACGAGCGAATGGCTTATATTTCAAAGAATTATAGCCAGAGATATAAGATTTCCAAACTACTTTTCCGAAGAAGCCAAAGACCTTATTGATCACTTAATGGTAAGTTGTAACTTTATGCATGTTGGAATTTGGTTTCTGCTATGCATTCATAACCTTGTATTTAAGACTTTGCAGTTCTTTGTCCAGTTATCTATTTATGTTATTAGATGAATATCGGATTTTTTCCGTCACGTTTTTACGTGAAAATAACAAATAAAAGCCTTATCATTATAAATTCTTCTGTGTCCTGTGTGATCTTGATTTACAAGAAAAAAATTGTAGCCTTAGAATTGTAATGCGAATTTGATGCAGGATACCGATCCCAGTAGACGAGCAGGTGTTGGTCCCGAAGGTTATGCTGCACTCAAGAGGCATCCTTTCTTTAGGGGAGTTGACTGGAGCAATGTAAGAGCAGGAACCCCTCCAAAGCTTGCATTACAGAGAGGGGTATGACAACATACATGCTTCAATCATTGTTTACCATGGAATCCAACTTCCCTCTGTATTCTGTCTTTCGAGACTTTTAAAATATTATCATTTTCTATTTTTTTCAGGCTCATTCAAGTGACGGTGATGGTGATTCTTCACAGAATCCGAACCCCATCCGATATGGTTCCGGTAGACAAAATGATGGGTCATCATCAATTGAATCATCTGGCCATATAAATAGAATGGCCTCCATCGACTCCTTTGATTCGAAATGGTATTTTTTATATCTTGCTGTTTTCTCTGCATTTGTTCTTAGATTTTGTTGAATGGACATGATTTTTCCGATTGTAATCCGAGTATTATTGTTTTTTTCATTGCCTTTTCCATCTGCTGGATTGTGGCTGACTGAAATGAACTTGTTTAATTACGTAAATTGTGTTAATAGGCAACAATTTCTGGAACTGGGAGAATCTGTACTTATGATCTCAATGGTGAAGAAAATACAGAAGTTATCGAGCAAGAAGGTGCAGCTTATCCTCACCAACAAGCCGAAATTGATTTATGTAAATCCCGCAAAAATGGTCGTAAAAGGGAATATTATTTGGTCCGACAATTCTAGTGACCTTAGTGTCCAGGTCACAAGTGCGTCACAGTTCAAGATTTGCACGGTAAGTCTCTGCAAGTGTTGCAGTAGGATAGAAATGAATTCCTCTAATTCAACATTCTCCATAGTCTTTTGTGTTCCTTTTTCTTCTTATTCGCCGGTGACGGTGACAATGAAAACTGCAAACTTACATATTAATCTGTTCATGCTTTGATTCGTTCTTCTATGGTTGTTCTAGTCGAAAAAGGTCTTGTCATTCGAAGATGCGAAACAAAGAGCATGGCAGTGGAAAAAAGCTATCGAGAGCCTCCAAAACCAGTGAAGTGATTTATTCATGGTCAAGAAGCACATTTATCAGACATTCTGATATTATCAAGTAACTTGAGAACCTTTAAATACAACCGGCATCTCGAAGCAACCATTTATGTCATGAAAGCGGCTCAAGAGTGTTTCTATTCAGCAGTTTTCTGGTGCAGGCACGTCTTTCTGTTCGTATAAAGCTTTCATCCACTCTCTTGTGGAATTTGGTACGTAATGAACGTTTTCTTACATGTTTCAACCTTTGTTCTGAAATGAACTAACAATCTGAAATATGGTCTTTTAGTGGGGAAGAAAAGGGGATTTTTCTGTTAATGTACATGTTTTAATGTATTGAAAGTATACGTTTCAAAGCCATTAATGAAAAATTATTTTCATGAAATAGTTCTTTGAGAACTAATTCCCCATAATTTTGGCAAAATTACTCATTCATTCTTAAATTATTATAATCATTATTTAGTTAAAACCCGAGTTGTTGTTGTATTAGGTGTATGCAAGCATTATACTAATGAGATTCCAGGTTCGAGTCGCATCATACATAAAAACCATGTGTTTATTCTACTCTAGGTCCGGATATATTCCGATCGTTGGTTCATCCATTTGTGCATTATATTGATTGATCCGATTGAAACTATACGTCTTACATGGATTGAAATTGTTCTTAAACAGAGTACATAAGTTCAACTGGTAAGACATAGTTGCAGAGAAGTAGCTAACAAAATAAGTTATAATATGCAGAGAAATAATTGCATTCCTCACCGTATTAATCTTGTGCAACGTCGTTGAGAAATTTTCTTTTGATATTCCTGAGCATGGAGATAACATTCTTCATATCAGTCCTATCTTCTGGTAATTCGGCTGAACAATCCAAGGCTAGTTTTATAATCGATGATATACAGTTTGCTTTAACAACAAAGTATTCATCATCTTCCTGCACTAAACTGGAATCTCCTGCCCCCATTATTCCATTACATAATGACATTTCCACCCAACGCTTCAAACTCATTTCTTCAACGAAAACTTCGTCTGTCGGCTTCTTTCTAGTGAATGTCTCCATCAGTAGAACACCATAGCTATAGACATCACTTTTCACCGAGATTATTCCTGCCGATCCGTACTCTGTGTTTTAAACATATTATGCCATTTGAGCTTTCGTTAATAATCAATGAAAAGAACTGAAATTTGGAACAAAGGGAAAGAAATGGAGTATCACCTGGTGCCATGTAGCCAATAGTAGCCAGTGTCATCGTTTGTTTGATGGAATCTTCTCCTCCTAATAATTTGGCAATTCCAAAATCTCCGACGTGCGCAACCATGTCTCTGTCTAGTAAGACATTACTCGGTTTCAGATCGCAGTGGATTATCGGAACTGAATATTCCGAGTGGAGGTATTCTAATGCCGATGCAACGTCTATCATTATGTTGATTCGTTGCAGGATATCCAAGGAATGGTTAGCAGAATATAACCATTTCTCCAGGCTTCCGTTCGGCATGAATTCAAGCACCAGGGCTTTGAAATCAGGATTAGAACAGCAAGTAATGACCTTGACAAGATTACGATGGATGATTTTACTCATCACTTGGCATTCGACATCAAAACTCTTGAATGCTCCCTCTGTTTGCAAATCAAACACTTTCACTGCAACCTGTTTCCCGTCTGAAAGTTGTCCTCTATATACAGTGCCAAAACTTCCTGAACCAAGTATGTTTGCTTCACTAAATCCTTCCGTCCCTTTTGATAACTGATCATACGAAATTCTTTTCCATTCCTTGAGAGGAATTGCATCTTCTCCGATTGCCAAATCCGTACTCTTCTTCTTCTTCTTCCTCTTCTTTAATTGTATGCAAACAACTATGAAGGCAGCAAGTATGATGATTGAGGCAAATGTTGGCAAAACATACCTCAACACTTGTAAGGGAGTCTTTCTGTGATGTCGATGGACACAACGCGAGACTCGAAATCTAGGTGAACCACATAGTGCAAAATTTTTCGCAAACGACTGATCGGTGAACTTTGAAAATGGCCCTTCACTCGGTATCTCCCCTTCCAATCTATTTACAGACACATTAAAATACTCGAGGTCACGAAGTTTTTCGAGAGATTCGGGAATGACTCCGGAGAGATCGTTGTCGGATAAGTCCAACCTTTTCAAACTCAGCAAGTCACCTAACGACTCAGGAATAGGACCCTGCAATCTGTTATGAGAAAGAACTAGAGCTTGTACATCATGAAGACTTCCGATAGCAGGAGGTATATCGCTCGAGAAAAAGTTTCCGGACAAATCCAAACGATTAACAACCTTCAAATTTCCGATGTCGGATGGAAGCAAACCGTTGAAATTGTTGAACGACAAGTCTACTTCCAAGATATCTTTCAAGCTCCAAAAACTTGAAGGTATTGAAGAATGAAACTTGTTGTAGGACAAGGAGATTTTTCGCAAAGAAGTCAACTCACTCAAACATGCGGGTAAAGGTCCATCCAACTCATTATCATCTAATGTTAATTCGTACAGTCTGTTCAAACCACAAAGATCATGCGGGATGGAGCCTTGCAACTTGTTTCCATCAAGACTCAAAAGCTGGAGGTTCTTTAACCTTGCTATTGACGCTGGAATGGATCCAATAAATTTATTGGAATTCAGCTGTAACATAATGACATTGTTTAAGTCACCGATTTCCATGGGAATGGTGCCTCCGATGTTGCAGTCGGCGACTGAGAAAGATTGGAGCGATGCCGGGAGGTTGGAAATGGAAGTAGGAAGAACTCCACTCAATGGGTTGACTGACAGGTCTAAAGTTATTAGGGATGTGCAATTGAGCAAGGAGGGGAAAAAGCTCCACTCACCATTGGTGGTCAATTTGTTTTTCCAGAGGAGTAAGTCCTGTAGGAACCTTAAATTGCCAAGGTTTTTTGGAATGTGACCAGAGAAGGAGTTTGCGCCCAGTGCAATGTGTGTGAGTTTGGAAACATTGCAGATAGATTCTGGGATATTTCCGCTGAGATTATTGCCCCATAGGTGAAGCTCCTCAAGATTCGAATCCGAGCTCATCTCTGGTAATTTGCCTATAACAAAAACGCAAGTTTGCATCATTTCATAGACATAATTAATTGCTTTGCTTTGCTGTTTTAAACATAGAAGGTGGGATCAACCCTATTAAGCTCATAATTACTCACCAGATAATTGATTCCATTGGAGATAAATTTCTCTCAAAGAAGAAATGTTGAAAAGAGAAGGTGGAATCACCCCAGTTAAGCTCATATTTGCTAATGAAAATATCTCTAATGACCCAAGATTTCCAATCTCCTCTGGAATTTCACCTGCCCAAAATTTTAGAGACCATAAATATTATTATTAAATTACTATATAAAAAACAAAACTCTATATATATATAAATATACCTTTATTTAGAGATATAATCCTGTTACACAACATAAAACTCTTTATTTTAGTGACCATCTATAAAAATGTCAAACCCATATTCTCATATGTAATAGGATAAGAGGGAAGTAGGTAGTAGGCTACCTCCAACGCCAGATTGAGAGCAACTTCCGTGAAAGACCTCCACAACATAAAACTCTTTATTTTAGTGACCATCTATAAAAATGTCAAACCCATATTCTCATATGTAATAGGGTAAGGGAGAGGTAGGTAGTAGGCTACCCCCAACGCTAGGTTGAGAGCATCGTCCGTGAAAGACATCCGGCAGTTAGAATTATGAATTGCCCACGGTGGGGCTCGATCCCACAACCACAAGGTTAAAAGCCTTGAGTTTTGCATTCATTTCTCTTCCCCTCTCTCTAAATAGGACTGTGATTAGATTTAGAATTTATAATAAAATAAAATAGAATATAGAATTAATTTATTAAAAATATTACAATAAAATTCATAATTGAAACTTTTGTAATAATATTTGAATATAATTTGATTATTTTATTTTTAATTTTTAATTTGAAATCAAATTCAAATTATTTAGAACTCATATTTTTATGATTTAGATTTATGTTTACATTCCAACTTTTTCCAAAATCAAATTTAATTTTTTTATTCATATTTGTTATGCGCAAATTATGACTTCAAGTCCATTTTACCACCTCTACTGTCTATAGTCTAATCCAACAACCTATTTTCATTGTGTATATGATAAACTATATTTATATTTTATATTTATATTTAAATCATTTATTATTTAATTTAAATTGAATTAGATAAAAAAAATGAAATATAAATTACTTTGTTTGAACTTAACAAAATTTGAGTGGATTGACGTCAACACATTAACTACGAAAACTTTGAATCGACATGAAACATAAAGATGGCAAAATGAGTCTGAACCCAAGCCTCAAAACTCAATCTTGAATCCATTTAAGCCTAATTTGATTAGAAAAATCAAAAGTCTAAAGAAAATTCGAACTCGGAATAATTTAAATTTTTAAAAGAAAAATTAAGACCTATTCGAACCCGAATCCAAATTTAATATCTAACTTTTTTAGCCCTTCCTAACATATTCTTGTTGTATTTCATTCATATTACTTAAACTTCCTATTATTAGAACATGTTTGGATTAAATAATCAAATTTATAATTTTGATTTAAGAAATATTTATATATTATCAACCAACTTCTAAAACCACAGCTATTAATAAAAACAACTTAACAAATTATAAAATCTAAAAACTACAATAAATAGGGTTTTAATAAAAGGATAAAAATAATATTTTATAAGGAAAAAAACATTAGATAACTAATAAAAATAACAAATTTACCATATTTATAGTTTGTTAAAATTTATTTTAACAACAACAGGAATAATGATAATTTAGTAAAAAAAACCAAATGTAGAACATTTACCTTGTAATTTGTTAGGGCCTAAATATATCTCTATGAGACTGCTTAAATTTCCAATACTTCTTGGAATGTGTCCGGTAAGCGTCGTGTTTATAGCTGAAAATATCTGCAAATTCACCAGATTTCCAATTTCCCAAGGGATCTCGCCTGTTCAAATCAATTTGCAAGACATGCATCAACTTGCCTAAAACCATTTTGTTAATATACCATACTTTTAAATTATTATTTATTAAAAATAAAAATATTTCTTAATAAATAAATATTTTATCCAATTTGAAAACAGTTATATAATATCAATATATCAAATATTCACTTCTTCGTAATGAGGTAAAAAACAAATATATAATTTGGCCAATAAACTAATGACAATAAAATGATAAAATGTGTATAAACGTACCTCCCAAATGATTTCCATCCAAGGTTAGCTCCTGGAGCGCGGTTAAATTACCGATACTCGTGGGAATGCCGCCACTCAATTGATTCAAATCCAATGCTAGAGCTACAAGATTCCTGCATTCGTTCACACTCGTTGGAATTTGACCTGAAAACTTATTTGCGCGCAGGTCAAGTATCTGCAGATTGGGAAGATGGTGACATATATCATCTGGGATTTGGCCGGACAAACTGTTTTCTGTTAAGGAGATATACTGCAACCGGGACATGCTGTAAATGGAATACGGTATAGACCCAGAAAGCTTGTTAAATCCCAAACGAAGTCTTCGCAGATTCACAAGACTACCAATCTCGCGAGGAATGTCACCCTGGATGGAATTAAATGTCAATTCCAGAATCTCCATGCTTGATATGTTACCTATCGAGCGAGGGATCGCGCCGCTCAAGCTGTTGTTCCGCAGTTTCAGGTGAATCATTTGATTTACTCTTCCGAATGACGACGGGATTTCGCCGGTAAGGGAATTGAAGCTCAAGTCCATGATTTTGAGACGACTCAGTTGTCCCAACTCACTGGGTAAATCTCCGTGGAATCCGTTGCCACTCAGATTAAGAGAGGCTAAGAAAGAGAGGTTTCCTAACGCCGGAGAGATAGTTCCGGTAAGATTCATGTAGGAAAGATCCAAAACTTGAACTCTACCGTGCTTGGCAGCGCAAGAGACGCCGATCCAGTCGCAGATTGAGCGAGTGGCAGTCCAGCTATTGGCTAAGATGTTGTGAGGATCAACGGTTTGGCGTTTAAATTGGAGAAGAAGATGTTGATCAGTGGTGAGGTTTCTCTCAATCATGGCGTGGCTAACCATGAAACAGTGGATGAACGTTAAAGCTAGTGGAAGAAAATGGGATTTCGCCATGTTTATGGCTTGGGGAATTGATGAAAAGGAAGAATGTTTAAAGCGTGGATTAAATAGGATTCAGTCCCACTGGGAAACTCCTCCGTCTTGGTCTTAGAAACAAACAGATTTCCAGCTTTTGAGTTTGGACCACATAAACCGATTTACAAGTGCTTCTATCTTTTACCGATGTGGTATTTCTTTCTCCTGCATATATCCTCATATCACCAAGCATTTGAATTAATCAATGTGGAATTATTTCACTTTAATTAACATTGAAATAATATTTTTAAATTGTTTAATACGATTATAATATAATATATATTTAGATTTTTTATTATTATTTATGATGTATATATATTCTAAATATAATTATTCAAATTTAATTTTTTTAAAGGAAAACATTACTTTTTTCTCAATAAATTTTAAAAATATATTAATATTTAATAGGCGAATTTTGTTTCAGTATACAGTTATGAAAGATACACTCATAATTAATGATTCATAAAAATATCAAGTATTTTTAATTTATTTAAATTACATATCAAATATATATATTTATTTTATTTTTCATTTTTCTAAAATTTCAATTAAACTAACTGGTACTTCTGCCATACCTATCTATATAGATAGACATGAACACAAAACCCTTAAAATAAAAGAAAATAAAAGATTTGGGGAGTTAATAGATAAAGATATGTTGGTCTACCACTGAACTAAACCGTGACTAGTGAAGTCCAAAACCTCCCACAGAATGCGACTACACATATCCATTGTTCACATCTTATGGCCATCAAATAAGATAGTTATTTTTATTCAAATAAATTTGATTTGATTTTTCAAAAAAAAAAAAACGGTTTACTTTAAAATTAAATTAATAAAAAATTCTTTAAATCTAGTAATAAAAATATATGAATAAGTTATATAAGAAAGGACATAAGACGTAAGATTTTATGTTGAAAATGAATTTTTAAAATTTTAAGAGACGAACTTATGAAATTTTAATAAGATAAAAATATATTATCAATTAAAATATATATTATAATTTAAAATTTTTAAAATGATGATTGCACCTATATGCTTTTCCTCGTTCCATTCCAAGTTTATACTACGTGTATAGATGAAAAAGTAGTGCGTCAAGTTTGACTTGACTTTGATATAAAACCAACTTGAAGCAAAAGTAGAGTAGGAGATGAGACCAACTTATAGAGGGATCGATAAATAAATTTCAAATGAGCATATTTTAACCTTTTAATAATATCTATTTTTTAAATATTCAATTTAAATTTTATCTAAGTTTATTCAGGTGTTATGTTTTGAGAGAAAATCTGTTTATTATCATCATTTTCAATTTAATTAAATAACATGGGTTTGAAATCTAAATCAATCAAACTTAATGTTAATATATATTTAAAATAAGTTAAATAAATCCTATCCAAATTCCAAATAAACCCACAATCATATTTATATTATAATATAGCAGCCTGAAGAGGAAAAGAGATACAGTTGATATTGCAGCCCACTCTTTCCACATTGCATATATAGGATTAGTATAAACTTTATTTAGTGGGGCATGATTTGATAGATTACATATCATTGGTCCAAATACTTTAGTCACTTCCAATATGAGACTCATTTAATTGTTTCTCTTTTCTTTTCGGAATTATTGTCAATCCACAATTTCCTTAGTGTGAACATTTCTATCTTCGTGTAATTACAATTAGAGACGGTTTATATTAAGGGTTTAGAGATATTCAAGACATGAAAGATGAGTTTTTTTATACAACATTTCTTTTAGTTGCAGTGAAATAATTCTCTTACTTTAATGGAAGTTATGTAAAAATTAGAGTTATTGAGGATTTGGTAATAGTTCTTCTTTATATAAAGATCGAAATTGTTGAAGATTTTAAAATTATTTTTTAATGAAATTTGGATTAGAGGTGAAACTTGTTATATTTTGGCTCAAATTATAATTAATAATTAAGTTAGATTTGGATGTAATTCCAGTGGTTATATATTACCTGACATTTAAGTTTATTTATTCAGTAAATACTTATTTTAGGAGAGAAGTCTTATGGAATACCATTTCTTAGTAATTAAGTATTTGACATTATAAATACAGAGTAAGTGACCTTTAGAATTATGAGAAAAAATATTTTAGATAGAGACATAATTATTTTTATGATCTATGCAATTTTTGAGGTTTATATTGCAAATATGAGTTTTGCGGGGATATATGTTAGAAGATTGATGTAAGATACTCTGAGTTTTGGTATAGATATCAAATTTTAAGATACATGTAATATCATATATTTGTACCTTTTGTGATCTATATGTTTATAGTGGATTATTGTTCTTCTCATATGTGAAGGTAAACAAGGTCGAACTACCTTAAATATCACCTCTTGCATGTCTTATTTTTATTAATATCGTTTAAATTATTTTTCCGCTTATGAATTCCTAACACATTTTCTTCCTAAAATATTATAGATTCATTCATATCACAAAATCTTGCCTATGTTGATATGTTAGACATGCATATTTAATGAAGCAATTGAGTAATTATAATTGAGAAAACATAAATATAACAACCTGTAACGCTTTGGCGAAACTTAGCCAGGTCAAGCAAACCCGAGCGCTTTGAACCATCATCCATGGCGCGAGTTCGAAAGAACGATGAAATTGCAGCAAACCATGCTTCAAAGAACGCGATGATTGATTCATGCCAGCTGCATGGGCCATGCACGTGCAAACCCTTTTTGGGCTGTTGTCCTTGTGGACAACAAAACCAACTTGATTTCGTGTAGGTTTAAATTATTTAAATGTTTTCTTATTAAGAAAAAGAAAAGGGTTAAATTAAATAATTTCTAAAAATAATAATCAAATGTTTAGATTTTATAATTTTATTAGACTATAAAATATTTTTAATCTTTACATTAGATTTGGATTAACCGCAGTAAAAAAATAAATAAAAGTGGATGAGAGAAAGATCAAGGAAATAAAATGATTGCATATTATTTTACTTTGTACAATTAAATTATATAAGTAATTTTAAAGAAATATATTTGGTTAAATGGCAGAAATGGAATGAATTGATTAATCAAGGATGAAATTTCAGACAATCCACACTTAAGTTACGTGAATGTAAAAGTTGAATTTAGATAGTAAAAATATTCAGAACTTCAATCTTTATTAAATCTATATAGGAATAGGACCTATTAGAAATATTAAAAATTATTTAAATATAAGCCAAAGAATCAACATTTATTTGCGTAGAGTACATATAAAATTAATACTGATATACAGTGAATGATATATTTTAATTTCATAAGTATGTTAAAATTATAATCCAATGTCTTTTTTTTATTTGTATAATATTTTTTTTTATTTTTTACTACACATTAAAATTCACATGTCAATCATTAATCCGTTTTTACTATTTGAAATAATTATATATTTGTATAAATTTACTCAATAAAAACAATTTTTATCATATATAATTTCAATATAAAAATCGGTGAATGACGCATATCAGTCCATATTAATCAAGACGAAACTTTAAAATCAAGAGGACAAAAAAAAAATAAATACAAAAATATTTAACATAATTTTTGTTTTATCTGTGAAAAACTTATTTCACTCACGGTAGAAAATTCAAAAATATTTTATTTGATTATTTAGCTTTAATAAAAGATTGGGCCCAGGCCCAAGAACTTGTCCAAAACATAACAAATCTAACTTACCCAAAGACTTGTGAGCTCGGCAAGGCGGCTATTCGTGATATTTTATAGTTAAATTAAAAATTATTATTCATGTTATCGATAAGGAAATTTAAGAATATGTATAAAAAGGGAAAAAAAGGTTAACGATGATTAAACAATATACAGGCTTTAATACCTCTTTTTACCACTGCATTATGGTTAAATTATAAGTTCGATACGTGTATAATTTTTCAATTTGAAGTCTATATTATTACTTTTTATATCTTATTATTTTAGGACCGATGCAATATCTTTTCGACACTATTACACAAAACACATTATGGATTTACTCTATTTTAAATAATAAGATTAATATAAAAAAAGTCATCGGTCCATTCCTTCTCAACAATTTTTCTTACGATCGAGACCTTCAACTATAAATTTGAATAATTAAGAGGTGCGCTACCACAAGGAGAATAACATATTAAAGATTCAACATGATCTAACAATGATCGGTGAAAAAGGACAAATGTAAAAGCCGAATCTTCTTCAAGATATGTTGATTTTCTTTTAGGAAAATAGCGCTAAATATGAGTTAAAGAGGTTGAAAGGAACCCCCAAAAAAAATCTTTTCAAAGGTATCCATAGCCTCCTTTTCCGTTTTTTTTATTGGCTTGCATGGGTTTTTTTCTTCTTTCGAACCAAAAGAAAATGGGGAAGAGGTATAAACGTTTACCTAGTGATTGGTCTCCTCGTCGGAGTGTTGGCCGTCGTCGTTGGGGTTGGGGAGGTTTTGAGTCGGGCTCCCTTAGTGTTTAGGAGGCTTGCATGTCTCATTTAGGGGCTTGGTTTAGGAATAGGGCCTAGCAAAGAGTATTCTGAGGGTTGATGGGAGGAGAGCGGCGGCGTGGAGCCGCTGGAGAGTTAGAATGCGAAGCGTCTCGAGGAAAGAAGGCCGTTTAGGGTCTCGGTTAGGCGGTTTTGGCCCCAAATCGGGGTTGTTAGGTTGTTTCGTGGGTTATTTGGGGATGTTTGGTTCCATTAAAGCTTGGTTTTGGGGGGCGACCACCGCGGGTGGTGGTCGGAGGAGGTTTGAGGTCACCATTTCGGTGGCTTGCATCAAGAGCCTTGGGGCTTTGTGGGTCACGGCCGAGTCATGGAAGGAGAAGGGGGGAGAGTTCAGTGGGTAAAAAGGAGGGGAGGAGTGTTTTGGCTAGGTTTAGGATTTTGGTCAAGAACGGCTAAAAATATATATAGCCTATATTTTGGGTAACTAACCTTACAGTCCCTCTAAGTTATACTTTTGTCACATTGTAGTCACTAGGCTGCCTTCTATTTCTCGTTTTTCTGATTTTGATATTATTTTTTACTTTGTTTCAATTTAGTCATTACACTGCCATGCTATTTATTTGAAATCAGTCACTTCTTTTTACATTTATTCATTTAGCCA